ACAGATAAGAGAATCCGGATAGATTGAGCATGGCAACCGCTAGCGAAGGTTTCTTCATCATCCACACCTTCTATTTGGGTGTACCCTTCGCCACCAATCTAGCTTTGAAGGTTTCAACCTTTCCGTCTATCCTCTCTTTCTCTTGTAAATCCACTTACACCCAATGGGTCTTACCCCTTTTGGTGCATCTACAAGAGACCAAACTGAGTTAGAATACATAGAATCCATTTCACGACTCATAGCCTCAAGCCATTCCTGAGCATCAACATCTTCTAGTGCCTTGTCATAACTAGTGGGATCATCATCATTCTCAATGATGACATCCTGACTCGATTCACCCAAGAAGAGATATCTTGTTGGTTTACGAATCAATCTCCCACTACGACTGTGCTGCACTTGTTGCTGAGCATACAGGATGATTCAAGTCTGGTGGGTTAACAATTTGAGGAGGACCCTGATTTATTTCTGGATAAACCATTTCATGATTTTGTTCTTCTACAAGTGGTAACTCCACTTGTTGATTATCATGCTGAACTTCTGGTTCTGTCTCTGGTTCCTGCGTATGTTCAACTACAGGCATATTTTCCCCTCTTTGAACAAATACAGGAATAAAAGCTGGAACCCCTTGAGGTTGAGGCGAAACTTGATCCGAGTCTAGCTCGTCAAGTATAACCGTACTCCTCGGCTTGTGATTTTCCATATAGTCCTCCTCTAAGAAAGTCGCATGTGTACTCACTAAAACCTTCTTTTCTTTCGGACTATAAAAATAACCAGCCTCTGGTTCCTTTATGATAGCCTATAAACATGCACACTTCTGTACGAGAGTCCATCTTATTTGGCTTCTGTTGTAAGACATGTGTCGGAGCGCCCCAAATCCGAATATGGTTCAAGCTGGGCTTACACCCTTTCCATAATTCTATTGGAGTCTTTAGAACAGATTTTGATGGAGCCAAGTTCAAAAGGTACATAGCAGTTTCTAAGGCATATCCCCAGAAGGCAAAGGTGAATAACTGAGCATCGATCTTGCCATCTCTAAAAGGGTTCTATTTCTCCTTTCAGCGACTCCATTCTGCTGGGGTGTCCCTGGAGAAGATAATTGTGAAACTATCCCCTCTTGGGTCAGGTAAGACCTGAACTCTCCAGATAGGTATTCACCCCCTCGATCAGACCGAAGAGTCTTAATTTGAACACCAAGATGTTTTTCTGCCTAAACCGTGTATCCTGTTTGAGTTAATGTGACCCAACCTCAAATGCCAAAGATAAGTTTCATTGGAAACTTTCCTTTTCTTTGATGAGTTGATATCCTCAACATCTCTTAATTCAACATGATAAACTTCACAGGGTACAGGACTAAGGAAATAAAGACCATTAAACATTACGCCAGAACAAATAAAAGAAGACGAACTCCTTATTGAAACTGAGGAATTAAACTGAACTGTTAAACCATGTTTAATCAAACAACTAACAGAAATTAAATTCCTCTTAAAATCCGGAATAAATAAACAGTCTTCTAAAACCAAAGTTCTGCAATTATTAAAAGATAAAATAACTTGTCCCACTGCCAGTGCAGACACAAGCTCCCCATTTCCAAGCTTCAAAACTCTTTGTCCTTCGCTTAAAGGCAAGCTATGTTTGAACCACTGCAAAGAGTAACAAACATGGTTAGTGGCTCCTGAATCAATGATCCATTTATCATTGTAATTCTCCACTAAACAAGCCTCAATCACATGTAAATTACCCATACCTGGCTGATTCATGCGTGGGCAATTTTTCTTCCAATGCCCCTTTTGTCCGCACTTGAAGCACTTACCTTTCGGTTGCTTCATTGCAACTGGTTTGGCAACTGGAATACCTGATTTCTTCTTTTTCTTGTTCTTGTTCTTCCCCTTGGGTTTCCCCTTAGGTTTCACAGAACTTTCACCAGCATAAAATGCACTGCCCTGCTTGACTAGAGACTGTTCAGCACTCTCAAGCTCGTGCATCAGTTGAGTAAGATTAAGATTCATCTTATTCATATTATAATTCATCTTGAATTGAGTGAAGTATTCAGGCAATGATTGCAAGAGAAGGTCAACTTTTACTTCTTGTTCAAACTTGACCCCATGATCCTCAGCCTTCTTGAAGTTTGCAATCATTGACAAACAATGATCCCGCACACTTCCTCCAGACATTACTGTCTTAGTGACAGCATTCAGCGCAATCTGCCTAGCAGAGCTGCTGGACGTAGCAAACATGCCATCAAGAGTCTGGAGCATAGCTGCTCCACTCTCAACCATGTTTACCTGCTCCTGAAGGTGATTGGCAAGACTGGCTAAAATGTAACAGCGAACTGCCACATTTGCCTTCTCCCATTTCTCCTTCTCCTGCTGAAATTGGGCCTTTGTTGCCTCAGGCGCATCTTCAGCAGGCTGCGCCGGTATAGGGGTGGTCAGAACAAAATTGAGCTTTTCATATTGAAGAACAATATCCAGATTTGTTTTCCATTGTTTGTAGTTTGTACCATCCATTGGTTTTTGACTCAAAATAGTAGCTAAAGGATTGAATGAAGACATTTTTCTGAAAATAAAATTACACACATTATTTACAAACTCGAAAAGAAAACAACAAACAGATATGGCGCTAGTAGATTCTAATAACTACTATTCGTTTATTGTTTAACAATCCATTAGCTATCTTTACAAGGCTTACGATGGGCAAGATACTTGTAAAACTAATATTGTTATTTTGGGCCTTCAGTTCCATTGTCAGAGCCTCGATGGGAGGGTTAACAATTTTATTAAAGTTGAATGTATTTAACCATTGTTTATTGTCAAAATTATCTTTAGTATCTAAGTGTTGCCGACGATGGGCCGTACAAAACTTTACCAAAATTTTGAAGATATTAAGGTTTAATCTAGCGAAATCTGATTATCCTTATCCGATGGGGCTTCAGCGATAATCATTTCACTAATAAACCCACAATTGGAGCCCGTAGGTTTTATAATTAAATATTTAATTTAAAACCTTCACCCATTCAATATTTTAAAAATTAGAATTTTTAATTTCCAAGAAATGTTTAATTCAAAAAAAAAATTTTGTTTGATTTCAGAAATCCGGTCACTTTGCGTCAACACGTGTTACTCCATGACCATTTCAGAAAACCCACAAAAATTTATTTTCTCAAAAAACAATTTTCTCTTAGGAAATTAACTGGATTATTTATCTAGATTTTAAATCCATAATTAATTAATCCAATGGACAACCTAAATAATCACGCATACTAACTATCATACTAGTCGATTCAAGACATAATAGCTACTATGCAGTAATGACATGTGATCATGCAACAATATGGCATCTTCCTATTCTATATGACATGTTATTTTATACATCATGTTTAATCGCACATATAATTCATACCATTCAATTAAAACATTAAATAATAAATAAATAACTTTAATCCATGGCTTTCCTATAATAATCAATAAATAAATAAAATTACAACTTTGAAATTCCTTTTCCGTCCAGCCCCTAGTATCTGTCTCAAGCCCCTTTAGGGTATCTATGGGCCCACAACCCCAAAGACCCAATCCTTTGCTAGAAACCCTAGGAGACAAAAAAAAGGAACCCTAGCCAACTGTTTTGCCGCGCCGTCAGCCGAAGTCATCTCAACACGAAAATCCAGGGGAAGGACCACCACGGGGAGACGAGAACACGGTCGCCGGAACCACCCAAAAAGGGTGTGGCACGCGCCCCCACGCTCCGTATCTCTCCCGGAGAGTGAAGCCCACTCTCAGCCACTTGAGGTGGCGCGTGGCGGCGCGTGGAGGATCTAACGGCGGCGATCCACCCGTCATTTTGATCGTCTTTCCGTCCTCTTTCCAACCATATATGGATCGTCCAATTCCGAGGTCCAGAGGTCCACGAAAAGTCTCAGACAGTGTTGAATCCTCATGTTCTTCGCAATTTCTTGATCTCCAATTTTCGAAAAATACATAGAAATTCCAAAAAAAAAACAAAAAACAGCAAGGAGGAAACCTACAGAAATTCGAAATAAATACAAATATAGAAAAAGATCCAAAAAAAATAATTTTCAAAAACAATCACATGAATTTATTTCAAAACTGGTTCTTTTCCTCAGGAATACCTAGGTATATCATCAGAAACGCGGAAGCGCATGGGATTTCATCGTTTTGATTACCTCCCACGAACAATTGTTACAAATCAAGGATGAGATGGTTGTGTGGGCAACCGTTCGAGAGTCTGCCTCTTGGGTTTGTTTCTAATGATCTAACCATGGATTATACTTTAGCGATTAACCGATTAAAATTAAAAAAGAGCAATATCCAACAAACGAATAAGAATTATAAACCCAAACCATAAGTCATAACCTTCCACCCATTCAAAGCTATCCATCAATGACCATATGAAATATATCCTCTCACATCTGCACATTTCCTACTCATATGAAAAAGTTCATCCTCATTGGTAAAGTGACAAATAAATGAGCTTAGAAAAACACATGAAGAATATTTGATTAAAATAACTAAGGCAAAAATAACAGTGCTCATAGTGGTCCTCACTCCTTAGCACCCACCTTATGGCTCTTAGCAGAGCTGGAAGATAATCATTATGATACTTTATGCGGTCGAAGTCTTGGATTAAAGCATTCAAATCCTTTTCGGCAAGTGGTGGTGAGTATCCTAAAGCATGGTTTGTACAAAAAAAATAAAAAAATAAAATCAATTTCATTGTCACAATTCTCTTGTTTATTTACATCAAGACCAAAAAGTCCACAAGAGAAACTAATTAAAGTAGATCAAATGAGATAATCTAAAACTTGTTCACTCACCATTTTCAGTAATAAACATGGGCATATTATGGTATCTTATCTTTATGTAGTCTACAATTTTCTGAAAGATTTATAATTTCAAGAAGATGTATATGATTATAAAATACCCAAATAATATGAAATCAAAATATGAGATTATGCACCAAATGGTGGTAGCTCAGTTGGCGCATGGGAGCTGAGCAGGTGAGGGTGAGGGCATGTGTTCGAATCTCTCCAGTACCACCTTTGAGAGGGATTTAAAGCCTTAATCCTGGACCCGCTCCGAATCGGACTAATCGCGAAGCGATGAACCAATGGAATATTTCCAAAAAAATATATATGAGATTATGCGTACCTTTTTGGGTTATCACAAAGCTGGAGGAAAGGGGAACTACATGCAAGGATTTTCCTCTCTATGACCTATTTCGCAAGTGGCAGCCTCAGCGATGGGAACATTACGGCTCATGGGATTTAATCCCAATATAAATAGGCTAGAGAGAGGACCTAGCCAAATACCCTAAAAAGAATTTGTGTCCACTGGGTCCACCTATCTCGGAAAACCAGGGTTACACTAAAGCCTACACTGCTACCCAACCAGGCCTAATACCAACAGATGCCAAAAGCCCAACTCAACATGATCACAACGAGCTTATCAAAATAATACAATTGGAAAATCCATTAACCCGATTAATTTCAAAAACAGAAAACTAATTAATTAATATTGCCCACATAAAGAAAAATTCTAGCATTCTCCCACTTGGGCTATATTAATTAATTTAATATTATTTTAAAAATCATTTTATTTTGAAAACGACTCTATCGGGTTAATAACTAAAAAAAATCATTTTACGTGGCTACGATTTTGAAAAATAATATTCCAATTCCAATAC